CAGCCCCAACACCCACCCCAGAGCCAGCCGCATCTCAGGGTGTGATACCAGCCCCGACACCCACCCCAGAGCCAGCCGCGCTGTGTCTGAGCCCAAGGGCCGGAGGCAGCCGATACTCACAGATCACGGTCACAATACGTCTCGGTGCTGGGGGGGGCTTCGCACGTGAGCTTCAGGGTCCTGTTCTCCACCACCGTGAAGTTGGAGGATATCACCTTGGGCTGCGACAGCATCTCTGTGAGGGACAGAGGTGGCGTTACTGGGCTCCCATCTGCCCCTGCCCACGTGCCCCGACAGGTACTGGGGAAGGTGGGATCCTGCGGCCCGGCCTGTATCCAGGATCGGGGCCCCCTGGGTGCTGTGAGGACTTCCCCAGCCACACTTGCAGGCCCTGCCCGCCCCCAGCAGCATCGTGGTCCCAGGTGCAGGGGTACACGGTTGAGCCTGGGCGTGCCGACGAGTGTGGGGAAGGCAGACAGGTTGGACAGGACGACGCTGGGGAAACGGTGCCCTTCCCCCAATCCGAGTCTCCTCGTGGGTGTCAGGGCAGGGAACGTGGATGGAGCATCGATGGCGCTGGGGGATGCTGTCAAGAGGTTCCCCTGAGCGCGAGAGGCCTTGGGGCCGACAGGGGGGTCCAGGGGACCCCTGGCCCCAGCAGAAGTGACCGGAGGGTCCCGGGACCTGGGCACAACTCACCCCAGAGCCGCAGGTCCAGGGGGCGGCTGGCGGCCGTGAGCCCAGTGATGGGGTTGTGCACCGCGCAGCGGTACGTGCCCTGCTGGCCCCAGCCCGGCTCGGTCAAGTTCAATGTCTCCCCCGCGCCAGGCAGCGCAGTGTCGTTATGAAACCACTCATACCGCGGGGCTGGCACAGAGCCGGTCTCACACGTCAGCCCCAGTGCAGCGCCCACAGCCCAGTCCAGGGGCCCTGGCGGGGCAACGGTGGCAGCATCCGGCCCGTCTGCGGGGAGACGCGTGGGGTCAGGGGGGCAGAGCCGGGTCCAGCCAGCATCCCAGGACCTTACACCCAGCCCCAACGCCCACCCCGATCCAGCTGCATCTGAGACCTGTGATACCCACCCCGACGCCCACCCCAGAGCCAGCTGCATCTCGGGAGCCCTGTGATACTCACAGGCGACTGTAACGGTGACAGGGCGGCTGCGGTTGTGGCTGACAGGGTTTCTGACCTCACATGTGTAATTACCAGCATCGTCCCGGCAGACCCCCTGCACCGTCAGAGTCCGGTTCCCTGGGGACAGCCCCACGCGGCCGCCGGGCACCAGCACAGAGCCATCGTGGTCCCACAGCAGCGTCTCAGTGCTGGGGGGAGCCTCGCATGTGAGCTCGAGGGTCCTGTTCTCCACCACCATGGGGTTGGGGAGCATCACCTTGGGCTGCGACAGCATCCCTGTGCCCGCGGGGCAAAGGCCACGTTACCATGGTCCCTGCTCCCCATGCTCCAAACGGGGCCCACCCCAACACACTGTGAGAGCCTGGGTGTTTCGGGGCAATTTGCCCACGCGCAATTTGGGGGGGACCTTTGTGAGCCCCGTGGAGGAGGTCAGAGCCCCGGTCGCTCTGGGCAGGCGTCATGCTGGCGTTGCACGGCACCAGCAGTCGGCAGGGCCTGGCTGTGCCCAGGCAGGCGCTGGGTGCGAGGCCGAGGACACGCTCCAGGAAACGGGCTCAGAAAATCAGCAGAAGAGCCGGCAGGGCTTGGCCCGCTCCCCACCCCCAGCTTCAGCTTTCTGGAGAGGAAACTGCAGCACGGCCGAACGGGCAGTTCCTGGCTGGCTGTCGTCTGGGTCTCACTGGCTGGCTGTCGTCGTGGTCTCACCCCTCCTTCCCCACCGCGGCCGTGCCGGGGGCTGGCGCAGACCCAGGGTCTTCCCCATCCCCTCTGCAGGGAAGGCAAAACCCCCCAGTATGGACCAGTCTGAAATGGGGGGAGTGAGGGGGAATCCTTTCCTGCCCCCTGGCTGGGAAACCCCCTGGCACAGGGAGCAGGAAGGGAGAGGCAGCCCCAGGCCTGGGAAAGCCCCACAGCTGAGCCCCAGTCCGCCCCGTCCAGGCCCCCGACCCCCATCGCAGGGAGCCGATTCCCCCTGCCCTGGGACCCACTTGGCCCCAGGAGGCCTGAGCCAGACCTGTCCCCCGTGTGGCCTGTCCCCAGCTCCCAGAGCCGTGGGAGCCGCAGGTGGTTAATCATTGCCGGGGCTTCTCCGGGGACTTCAGCCCTGCACGTGGGGCCATTAAGCACTGGGTGCGGCCCACACTGCACAGCTGCCCCGTAAGGGTCAGGGGACATGAGGATGAGGCCAGTGCCACACGGGCAGGCGGGTCCATGGTGGGTCTGTGGTGACGCCGGGTGTCACTGGTTGCCCCGTTGAGGACAGCCTTGTGCGGCCGGCGGGGGGCAGGGGGGGCAGAGGCTTTGGGCAAGGGCCCTCCACCCCCCGAGCTGCAGAGGGAAGCTGAGCTCACAGGAGTGGGGACGGTGCTGTGGCCTGGCCCGGGGCCCCGCCGCACCCAGGCCCCACCCGCGACGCCCCAAACAGGAAGGGCAACGGGCGCGGAGGTGACTCAGCTCCTTGTCAGGGCCAGGGGTAACAGCAGTGGGGAGAGTTTGGGAGGGCATGGGGGTGCAGCAGGGCCTGGCACAGACCCCAGCCCCCCATCACACCCAGGACAGCAGCAAATGCATGGGCACGCACAACTGATCCTGGCCAGGGGGTGCTGGATGAAGAGAGGCACAGATGGAGCATGGGCAGCCCGGGGGGGGGGAGACAACATGCAAAGCACCTGGGGATGGGGGCAGATGGGCACCCACCCCACGTACCCCCGAGAACTGGCGCCTCACGCTCGACGTGCCAGGAGGCACCCCCGTGCCACCACCCTGCCCCTGGCTCTACACGCGCAATGGGGCCGCGCAACCCGGCTTGGCCTGGACTCACCACTAGCGTGAGGCCGGTGCTAGGGTGGCCACATGCCAGGGGCAGCGGCTCTGGGCACAGAGGCAACACCAGGGCACTTCCCCCTCCAAGGTGCCTGGGACGTGTCTGGGCTGAGCCCCAGCCCACTCAGGTCACCTGTGACCTGGACGGCAGGTGCCAGCGCCCATCCCTCCCGGTCCCCCCAGCCAGGCTGACGCCAGGACTGACCCCTCCCGAGCCCAGAGCCCTGTCCCCTGGGGGG